AAGAGAAGAAGAGGTGAATTCAATTAGGATTTTAAGAGCATCCAATTGGGGATTTTGTAAACTTGTTATGTTTTTAGAATGACGTCATATCTATCTCTATGAACAGTAAACAGAGATTTGACTATGAAAAAAGTTGACCAAAACGTATCTATGAGATTTGAAGGTCAATGTAAGTTTGTGATTTTTACTGATTGATGAAAACTCAGTATTTTTTTGGAAAATTGATAAAAACGCAGTATTTAAATGATCTTTTTCTCAATAAAATCAACACAATGATGAAGCAAGTGTCTATTCAGATTGACATCTAAACTTTTTAAAAGCATGAGAAAGTGACATGTCAATAAAAGAAAAAATTTAAAACCAATGAAAACATTTGACTTACTTCCTCTAATCAAGCCACCATCGCTTTGCATTAGTTTTTGATTTTGATCATAAGATTAATTTAATTGGAAAGGACGAAACAAAGCCTAGGACGGCTTCATCAGGAAAAAAAAACATGAAGAAATAAGCCGACTAAAACCTAGGACATATGATAACATGAGGTGGATTGATTTTATGGGTTAAGAAACTTCATCACTTCATAAAGGACGTCAGTGTAGAGGTGAAATCAGAGGATACAAAGGAGGGAGAGATGACGACGGCGGTGCAATATCTGGTTGTTTCAAGAAGAGATATATAGCTACTCATATGAGCACTTTGGCTGTTTCCGTGTTGAAATTAGATTAGGCAAATCTTTGTAGGTGTGAGATGAAAATTTCATTGTAGTCTGGTGATTATAGTTATTCTCTTTGATGCCAATGAAACATGGTTCGATGACCATGTCCGTTTCTTTTAGCAAAAAAGCAAGAAAAAAAATAAAATGATCACACGTCCAAAGAGACGAGTTTATGTCTTTTAGATTATCAGGCGAAGGTTTTAGTCACAGCTCTGAAGCTTCTTCTTATTCTTCTTCTTGGTATATCTCAGAACAGCCATGAATCTTTCAATGTTGTTCTTTTTTGTGATTGTTTGCAGATTGCAAAGCTCAGTATCAAGTAATCATCAACAAGAACAACAACAGCATCACAAAATCTCTAGAAACTCAGTGATTATCACTCATCTTGTTTCGGAAACATACTTTGATGACACCTTTCATGAATTTCAGAAATATTGTTTGCCTTATCATAGACCAAAAAGACGATATTTAGAAGAAAATTCATTGATTTTTAGAGTTCTAAAGTTTTCTTCTTTCTTATGATGTATGCTTGCAGAGAGCTTTAGCAAGAAAGATAAGAAAGCCTAAGACACTATGAATCTCTGCAACAAAACGGTAATTTGCAAACCTAATTCTTTTTTGGACAATTCTCTCAAATAGCCCTCTTTAAAGTTTTTATCACAAAAATAGATCTCAAAAATTAAAATGACCAAAATAGCACTTTTTATTTTGAAAATTTTAAATTTTTTTAATTTTTTTAAATTCGAAACTCTATCCCCAAAACCCCACTACTTAACTCTAAACAAAAAAAAATCTAGAATTAGTTAACCCAAAGGTATAAATGTATATTTAATAAAACATTTAATTGTTATTTTGGTCATTTTAATTGTTAAAATCTATATTTGTGATAAAAACGTTTTTAGGTCTATTATAGTTATTTTCTCTTTTTTTTTCCATACTTGTACTTAGACATTTAAAAAATGATTGTTTATACCAAAAGTTTGTCTTTCTTTTAAGTACATGTCAAGTTCACCCTTACTACCCAATATAACAGGTGTGTGTCTTCGCTGGAACTGAGAGATAACAAACATGTGTCATCTTTATTTACAGATTTGTGACGGGCTGTTCGAGAGGGACCATTGCTCAGTTTCAAATCCTTGGAACCAGCATTTTGTATCCAGAGGTAACTTTACACATGACTCATAATCATAAAAATCATATCATCATTGGGATTGTGTTTCAGCGCTCCCGGTAGCTCAAGTAATGGGTTTGTCATTGTAAGATCCTCTCAAGCTTCCACCCTATCAATGGTTTGTCCTCCCATAACACATCATCTCCATTTATCATCCGATACATTTCTTGTTTAAGAAATGCAAGAGGAAGCTCATTAAAGTTGCAGGAATCTAATAATCTGATTTGATCATAGAAGGAGCAATCTATCTATTAAGTGCATGAACATTGACTTTGTTCAAAATTATTATGTGAATCATCTTCTTTTCATAGTGTACATTTCTGACCTGTACGATTTAAGATTCTTGATAACTTCACTACATTTTCTCAAGGTAACATATTATGACGATATACTCCTACAAATACGCAATTAAGTTGTAAAGACCTCAATTCTTATCTCAAAAATTGTTAGCATTCTAAACCCAATATTTGTCTATAAATATCTAATCCCCACTCCATCAGCTCATTTTGTTGCAAGAAAATCAGCTCATTTTGTTGCAAGAAAAAAAAAGGGAGAGAGAGAGAGAGAGAGATGGGGAACTTGTGTAGCTGAGGCATCAGGAGTTTTCCGGAGCCTCTGCACGCCGTGACCATGCCAAACTCATCACCACCGTCAACCGCAACCCTAGGTAACCAGAAACCGCTATGGGTTTAAATTAGTTTTGAGTCGTTTAGTAAATCATCGATAACTTCTTAACCATTGAGAATCTCGTACATGCAAGGCCACCACTATGTTCTACTAGTCGAGAAGAAGCCGTAGATACCGACAACACCGCGATCCGACCTCAGACGGAACACACGAGCCCGCCAAAGTTTCACCGTCCGAGCACGTGGAGTGCACGTGCTGCCGAAGAGCCACCGTCTGAAATCGCAGCCGCCGCCGGACCGCCCCTCCGCCGCCGGACCACCGTCACCGCCGGTGACTCGGTCAACTCAGTTGACTCGGTAAACCGGTTGGTTGACTGGTTTTACCTTGTTCGAATTAATTGCGTTTTTGTTAAGGTAAACTGGCGGTTAAAATCAATTGAATTTTGGTTAGGAGTAAACCGGTTTGTAATTGATTTGAATCTGGTTCAATTGAAATCGAATCCGATTAAGGAAAACCGGTTGGTCCAATTCGATTTCAATCTGGTCAAGGGTTGACCGGCTTGGGTCAGAGTTGACCAGGTTGACCTTTGACCTTTGACCAGCGGGTTGACTTTTCCGTAGAAGCCCGTTTTCGACCGTTCAAAGTGCGTTCTGACTCAAAATTTCGATCTGATTTCAGATTTGGGATCTACTTGAGCAGCTGGAGATCATAGATACCACTTCTCTCAATTGCTAAGGTGAGGGTCTACTTCTGAACGATTCGTACGCGACTTAGAACTTTAAATAAATATTACTTATTTCTATTGTGTTCCGTCTGCGTGAATTAAATCTATTTTAGGGTGTGATTGGTGTCTCTTCGATTAGTTATTTAGGCTCTTTGCTAAACCGGAATTAGGGCGTCAGATGGTTCAATATTGATTGCTTCGCTTAATGTAAATCATTTAGTTAGAATTGTTTAGCCGGATACAAAGGACTTCTGTATGCCGAATTGTTTTAGGGTTACGGCCAACTTTAGTCGACCGGTTGTGCCGTAGCTTAGGGTCGATAAATCGTCTATGGGCGGTGCCTGGGTACTATCCTCAGTGTTTGTTATGTTGTTGTTAGCCAGTGTGGACGGTGTTTTTGGCCTGTTAGTGGACAGCGAGTAATACTGGCGTTATCCGTGAGCTTCTTAGACTGGCATTCTTCCACCTTGTGTCTGCTTCATGTCTCACCCTTCAACTATGAAGGATGCAAGAGAGGTATGTAATTTGCGTACAGTTTTTTTTTTCTTTTTTCATACTTTCTTACTAAGTGTAAGTGGCTTTACGTTATCACTGATATGATACTTCTTTTGGTTGTTGTGATAACAGACTTCAATGCAGATAATAGAAAAGATTGTAATGACTGAAGTTGGACTGGATCACGTGACAAAAGATAACAAAGAGTGTTACGGCCTAGTTAATGGGTTAGCAGCAAACCTCGTGTCACACTTCGAGAACCCTCAATTACAGTGTGTAAAGATGACAATTAGATGCTATTCACGCCTCTCAAATCGCACAAGGTATGTTGGTTTAGTTAAATACTTCAACCATATACGTTTTACGTTTTGAACTCCACATATACCTTTGCATTCTTTTGTAGAGCTTGTGAAGAACTGGTAAAGTGTCTCCCTCATTCCTTACAAAACAGGACACTTGAAGCTCAGCTTGGGGTAAACTCAAAACTTCAAAAAAATTCTTGGTTTTGGTTCATATGTGTATATATACTATTAACACCAATAAATTGTGGTACTTTCAGAGGGATCAAAAGATTCGTCAATCACTTACGGAGTTGCTTCAAAATGTTGGTGCTGCTTATGAGTCACTAGAGAATTTGCGTGCTGCTAACCAGATCCAAGAAAACAGATTTTAATCCACTCTAAAGCACTCATAGACTCGGCCATGACAAAGGGATCTCAGCTATTATTCCCTCGCACTTTTACTTCTTTTCCAACAACGATCTTCTACTTTGGTTTTCTATAAAGCAGTAATGAACATATGCCACATTTTCTAGATAAAACAGCTAAAAAAAAAAAAGAGGAAACATTAGACTATCAATCAAAAGACACGCTTTCATGTAGCCACAGGGATCCAGGGTTCATCTAAAAGTGATGTGGCTCAACAGATTTGTAGTTGTCAATGTATATATTTTACAGGCGGAGTCCCTTGCACAGCATCCACTCCCCCCTTGCCCCAGTTCCCTAACAAGACCCACTCAGGTTCCAACCAGGACCTGCGGTGAGGTTCTGTCTCAGAAAAGATTATATATTGCTTGATGAACTAAACTAAATTTACGAACTACATCTTTGTAAGTAGATAAACGGGATATTGAACAACTGCGCTAAAAAGAAGAAGAAGAGAGGCTGAACTTGTGATAATATCAATTTAAATAATCAAATTGATATTCCCAAACAAAGACATTTTACTAGTACAACACCTAATTCCCAAGAAGAGGAGGAGCTCTCTCTCTACAGATAGATAATATTGTCGACAAAGCTGCATGAGAGGGAGGCAAAGCAAGTAACCTCATCACCTGCTGCGAGTCCTTCAATTCGAACTCTTCTTTCCACCTTGCTCTCTACATGGTAGAAGAAAAGCTCTAAAGGATCACAAGAATAAGATGTCCAGGGAACATAGACGACCTCTCCAGCAGCAGTTATCCCAGCAAAATACATGCCTATATCCAAAAGCAAGGAATGGGTAATAGAAGAAAAGATGCATGCCCGTTTCGACCAAACTTGATTCTTAACATCATCAAGAACCCACAAAATAAGCCGATCATCATCATCAGATAAATCATAAGCAGCTAACTTTCCTAGGTAGTTCGTCAGGTGAGCTGCTACCATTTTTTCAGGTGTTTTAATGAGACGAATCTGCTCGGAAGCAACATCAAAGCTACTCACTGCCATATAGTTACCATATGGTTCCAAGCTAACTTCGTAATAAACAACCCCGTCAATGCATACCCCATTATATTCACAACAGTAATAAAGGATACTACTTTTGATGCGCCTCCATGAGGAAGAGGAAGAGGAACCTCCCAGTGTCCATACACTGTGTAAAATAGGTAAAGTAGAGCAAGTCCTCATCTTGACGCGCAATACCTTGTATTGATCATTGATATGGTCGTATCCCAAGTATATGTAAAGTGGTATTGTGTAACCAAGAGGATTGTAGTCTTCGGGAATGGGTATGACTTGTCTTGTGTTTGGATTACATGCCACGTAACGACGAGAGAGGGAGCAGCAGACGAATCCACGTACGGAATTGCTCTGTACGATGAAATCTTTAGATCCCACTTTCGACATCGTTAAGGTGTTGTTTTTCGTGGCTACCATTGTTGAAAGATTAAAACTTTGATCAGATGATGAGGAGGAGAAGAACATAAGGCGGTTGTCACCACCAGGATTGAGACTGAGGAGGAGACGAGGAGGTCGAGACAGAGACATAGACATGTAAGCCTCCACGAATTGTCGGCGACGGATGAGGGAGCACCATGTCTTCGACACACATCTGAATCTGAAGAGTGATTTCGACAGCAACCTCAGGAGGATCTCCGTCGTCAGATCATCAGGGATGCTATATCCAATGCCTGTCATCGTCTCTCCTTCCTCCTGCTGTTATTTTTTTTTACTCCTCTACTTGATCGTGTTTATAATACACACAAACTCATTCCAAAAACCTAAGACCTTAATAACACTCTTGGGCCTAAATTTTTAATTTGAGCCTATTTATTACACCCATGCCTATAGGACATCCGAATTAAAATTCTTTGGCAAATCATTTCCAAAGTTTTGCAAAGAAATCTATTCATTTATTTATAAAAATCCAAGTTGAATTTGAATCAGGTCCTCTCATGTCCATGTTGTAGGTTCGGATTTGATGTTTATGATTATGAATCATCCAATAACTGATTGGATAACCGTTGTATCCAATCCGGTTTCACATATTTTATAGTAACACAACTCAAATTACTGAGTTCTTTTTTGGATATTTTATATCCAAACAATTCAAATTTACCTAACTTCGATCTTATTAAATACGGTTCAAAACAGTTATCTTTTATTTAAAAGTAACTTTCTATACAATTTGATTTGGATATTTTGTATATAAACCCTCCCATTTTATCTATAAATAATCAAAACTACTAATATATCTGATTTGTATTTTTAATCATAGATATTAAAATTAATAAATTATTATAATGTGGTTATAACTAACATTTATATATTTGTGTGTTTGGATATTCACTCAGTATTTTTATGCGGTTTAATTTCTATACAGATTTTGATAATAGCAATTTAGGAATCGTTTGACTATTTATATTGGATCCAATTGAGTCTGAACCCTCATTTTAAGTTGGTTTTGAGATGGTTCTTGAGATATGGATATTATGTCTACTTCAGCAGTATGTGATCGAGATCGACGGCATAGATAAATATAACTAGATTCTAATATGCGCAACCGCGCTGGTGTTTGTTTTCAGATTTATATACATAAATATTTATTTTATATTATTAGTGTTATACATTTTAACATTAATCATATATTTAAATATTTATAGAAATGTTTCAAATAAAAAAAATTTATAGTTTACATATTATAATTAATCAATTATTTAAATTATCACATGTATTTTTCGCTTCTTAGTATACATTTGTCTTATTGTATAATATATGCGTGAAATAACATATTTCAAAATTATTTTGTATTTAATATATTTTAAATTTGGACCCCACCAGAATTATTTTTAGCAATATTTATTACTTTTATTCCTTTTAGATAATATACTATTATATATGTAAAAATCTAAGATATGTTAATTTTTATACATGTATTATATAGTTTGCTAATGTTTGCCCATCTTACCAATCTATTATATTTTTGAACATAAATAGTTTTACTTATGAAAAAAAATAAATATATATATATATATATATAAATTTTTCAATTGAATATAATTTTATCAGATTTAGTTCAACATTATAATTTTATTTTAATATGATTTTTTATGATTATATAATAGATAAAATAGGATATAGTATTTATTTTTTATTTTATAAATAATAACTGAATATGTTAATGTATAATAATAGCTCATTTCTAATTACGAAATTAGTGAATTATTTACTTAACTTTTTGAAATTAAGATATTGTTAAATTATTTTTCAACAGATTTTTTATAATTTATATATATATAAACTAATGACGAAATTTAGTAAACACATTTAGAGGATTTTTTATATTATATTATATATATAAACTAATGATGAAATTTAGTGAAAACATTTACAGATAATTTTTTAAAAATAATATATTGTCAAAATCTTTTAAAACAGATTTGTTAGAACTTTTAAATTTAATATTAATATTTAAAAGGAAAAAATATCAAAAGATATTATGATTAAAGTAGTTCAAAAATTTTATATATTATTAGTCTTGATAAAATTAAAATCAAATTAAAAAATCATACATGAAAGAAATCATGATTTCTATTTTGAAAGATGTGTAATAGAAATCATGATTTCGGCTTCTACGAGTTGGATTCTCGGAGTTCATCATTGCCCACATACCCATGACTAGGAACTTGCGTGCAGATTTCCTTGCCAAGGAGGCGAGAATTAGCGGTGTTCTTTTTTCTCATATAGATCAGACTCAGTCGGACAGAACGCCTCAAGACCGTCTACCACTTGATCTTGAAAGATGGGCGTCGACAAAAAAAAAAAAAAGATAAGATGTGTAATTAGCCAAGCCATGAAACACATTTTCCTGAAGAAAAAAAGATCCCTCTAATGAAGGCATCTAAATCAAAAGTCACCTAACTAACATAACTTTTGCTAGATTCTGTATATACGCACATACTCTTCTTTTTATGTACTTGTGAACTCAGAAACAAAAGAAACTTGAGTAACATCTCTTGATGATGTCTGAAAATAGGATGTGTGGTTAGCCATGAAACACCTTTTCTGAAAGTAAAACAAGTGTATTGAATTATCGATATTATTCGGAGGCATATAAATGAAAGTCAACTAACTAACCGAGAATCATTTACTTTTGCTAGATTCTGTACATTTATGTACTTGTGAAGCTCACAAACAAAAGAAACTTGAGTAACATCTCTAAAAGGTGTCTGAAAATGTAATGTGTGGTTAGCCATGAAACAGCTTTTTCTAAATGAAACGCCACCTAACTAACCGAGAATCAATTACTTTTGTGAGGTATATTGTCGTTTTAGGTTGGGCCTTCAAATGAACTATGCGAATGGGCAAAGGTAAACGTCAAGTGGGTCAAATGTATTAGCTAGCGATAATATATTTTCACAAACGTCAAATCAAGTCGTATCTCAGTGACTTATATTTCACATCATTTAGGCTTGTTTCTTCTCTGATAAGTAGCGCTGTAGCGGCCTATGCGTTCATTGTCAGATACCTTATGCGTGGAATACTCTTGTGGAAACTAATGGGTCAGGTCAATATCTTTAACTCTGTAGATTCATGGAAAATGGTATGCAAATACTTTGAAATTTATGATACAATAACATCGTTTAGTTATTGTCAGGCCCGGTTCTTAGCATGGGCTGAGAGTGCATTAGCATTGGGACCAAAAGAATATTGCAAAATCTTAGCTAGTATAAGAACATTTTCCAAAGAAAAATAGGACCCTGTTTTTACAAATTTTTTTAGTTTTGGTTTATGATGAATAATTTGTGCACAGGGTCCATAAAAATTATAAGACGGGCCTGGTTATTGTTTTCTTGTGTGATTTCTCTCTCTTAGGTTTTCTTTTACTGGTGAAAGTAATCAATTTTGTAACTCTTTCTGCATCAGTAGCTGCATGAAAAGGTTCATCTCCATGGCAGCTTTCCAAGTTTGCTTGCAGGTCTGGTTAGCAACTTCACTTCTTGCAGATGGGTTGCTGTAGCTGGCCAGGTTCAATTTAACCACTGACCTCTCGATCTATCCTCATCCGATTAAAGCATTTTTACATTTTAACAAATGGGTCTTTTGAAGGGCAATACTAGCGAGTGCATTTGCTAAAGGGCTTAATCTCGTGACAGTTAACTGGTTCTTGGGTTTCTATACTTGGAGCAGGATTGCATTTTGGAGAAAGACTATTCACTAAAGACGACAAAGTCTTACACCTCATTAGCATAGGACTTCCGGTAATTAATGTTAACTTCGTCTTAAGCAATTAATCAAACCATAATTATGTCATCAGCTAAAACCGGTTCTTGTTTGTTAAAGTTTGTGGCAAGAACACAGACAAGCCAATCAATGCCTAAGCGTTTGTATTGGATGGAGTTAACTTTGGAGCATCTGATTTCAGTTATGCCGCAGCTTCGTTAGTTTTCGTAGTTATAGTTAGCATTTGTGTCTGATCTTACTATCAACATGAGTCTTAGAGCAGCTGTTGGGTTCTGGCCGTAAAAAAACTATAAGAGCATCATTATAGGGCGTGCCTTGGGCCGTCCCTTAATGATTTTTGGGTTTAAAATAAATCAAAAATGCTGTGGGACGACACAAACGAGCCTTAATTAAGGGATGTTTTTCTTCGTCCCTTGGGCTACGTGGCAACTTGTCGTTGGTGATGAAAGCGGTGACCGATCGGGTTTTCAACTTTCTTTGTTTCTCTCTTCTCTACCAAACTGTGAAGGCGACGGCGAAGGTGATTTGATCTTCTAATCGATCTCTGATGGCAAAGACGATATCCGGTGGCGAAGACGATCTCCGGTTGCGAAGACTTGATTCCGAAACCGAAAGCTGATTCCCCAGCCCATCCGACTCTGACATCTCCGATGACGAAGACCTAAATCGTCGGCTCGCTTTGTTTCCCACCATCCCCAGTCGTTTGAGAATCGACCAAATCGTAACAAGGTATGTCTTTCCCCTCTATTCTGAGATTGAAAAATGTGATTAGGGTTGTGTAGTTTGAAAAAATCGTACTGATAATTATTGAATCTTTGTGAGATTGAATCTTTTGTTTGAGAAGCTTTGTTCTATGGTTGTCTCGTTTAGATAATTAGATTGATTATTTTTGTGCTTGGATTGTAGGATTTTTTGGAAAGAAACTATTCATATTCTTTGGTTGTTTCTTTTACATTGTATGATTGTTTCGGATATATGATTTGATATTCCTATAGATAATATCTGAATTTGAGTTTGAATGTGTGAAAATTTGAAATGATTTTAATGACCAAATCGTATTGATAATTTGATTGAATTTTTCATTAGGGTTGGAAAATAGTTCTGAGATTGAATTGTTTGTTTCTGAAGCTCTGTTCTATGTTTGTCTCGTTTAGATAATTAGATTGATTATTATTGTGCTTGGATTGTAAGATTTGTTCGAAAGAAAAAACACATGTTCTATGATTGTTTCTTTTACGTTGTATGATTGTTTCAGATATATGATTTGATATTCGTATAGATGATATGATATTCTAATAGATAATGACTGAATTTGAGTTTGAAACTGCGAAAATTTGAAATGATTTTAAAAGACCAAATTAGAGTTATGGTTTGAATGAACAAATGTGTTTTTAAACAACCACACCTACCCTTTCCAGTGAAAGTACACATTTTTAAATGTTTAGGTGTTTTAA